TGGGGGGGCCGCCGTGCGCGTGGCGGCGGGGGTACCATTTTGCCCTGGCGCGGGCGGCGCCTGGCGAGGCTCTGCCTGGCCTGCGCCATTTTGATAGGTAGCCGGCGCCGTGGTGCTCCTTGCGGACGTGTTAAGTAAATGCCTTGGGTATCTTCCGGGGCTTTTTAACGAGTACTTTCTGCTTATTGTTAGGGTTGAGAGCAATCCTTTCCTAGGGCGGGTCAGTCTCTCACTTCACTGAGTTATAATTTGAGTTGTTATTTCAAACACTGGCTAATGCCGATGAAGGACATCGACCTGAACGACTGGTTGAGAATGAAGTATTTTACTAAGAGGATTTGGGCTTCTTGCAGAAGGAGTTGCTCATTTTACATAGGGTTGGTATGCTCCTTTGTGTCTGGCTGTACTTGTTGCAGCTTGCTTAGCCCTAAGGATCGTGAAATTCTTAAAAGAATTGCAAGTACACAGTTATTGCAAGATCTACTTTATTAGTTGGATCATAAGGCTGCTTTAAGGCTTTGGATATGGATATCTTGTTAGGGAATGAGAGGATCCTAGAACAAAGGGAACTTTACAAAAAACTCAGTGGTTTAAGAAGTTCTTTCCAATTACGTCTTGCAAAGTTGATGTCATAGAGCAAGTAGTCTTTCTGGAAGAGTGAATAGTAGAATAAAAAGCACAGCTAGGATTGTAGGCCCCATCAGCAAGCTATGATTAGGCTGTGGTTGTGGGTTGCATTCATTTTGTGTTGAATTAACTTGGCTATATCTGACAGGCTATATAGCCTGGGTCAGACATTAAATGACCAAATAGTAAAAACTTCTGCTAACAGACTATGAAGATTTGGACTTGGTTACTGGGTATAATAAATAAGCCCAAGTTAAGTTTTTCTTAGTTTAAATTGTTATCTGAAACAAAACCGTGTTTAGTAATTAATCTGCAATGGATTACTACATTCACTTGGTTACACAATGAAGAATGAGAAACACTTCATCAGAAATTCTGTCTTGTAAAGGTGCTCTTGTAGGACATAACAAATATTTGCTGTGTTGCTTTAGCTTATGGAGTCAGTACAAGTTAAAATTAAATATTATGCGAAACTTAAAATCAGCTGTGCTTAAGGGACTAAAGACTTGAGCTAATGGATTCTCATGAAGAATTCCGAGTGTTAGTAGGTACATGTGGTTACTTCTACCACGTGTTTAAATAGTGGATTTCAGGTAGATGTAACTTGTCACTCCTTTGCTTGTAGCTTCAGAATAGCTATATTTCTTGCTGCTAAAAGATCTCCTGCAAGTTAACACTTCAGGCACTCAGCATACTGCTAGTACTATAAAAATTGCTCATGATTATCATCTAGTAATGTATGTGGTTTTATGGCCTGGTAATAAAAATCTGATTGCTGTTTTCAAGTGTTAAGTTTGTTTATTGCTCATTCTTAGGTACTATGAAGAGGAAGTATTTAGTGGTGTCCAATATATTGTACAGAAGTTTTAAGGTATGGTTCTGGATTTTTTTTTATTTGGTTGGGGTAGGAGGAACACTGCGTTTTTATAATTGATCAACATAAGTGCTTCCAGTTCTTAGGCTGTTTTCATGTTTTTGTCTGTCTGAAAATGATTCTCTCTCAGGTGCCAGAGGGTTGTCATCTTTGGATAACTATCAGGTGGGACAGAAAGGAGCAGTAGTATGTTGCATTTTTGTGGTGGCATTTAAACTGATGAGTAATTGCATAACTTTTTATGCTCTTTACTGTGTGAAGATCAGCCCTTAACTCGGTTGATTTTAGAATCATCTTTTTTGCTGTGGTATTTGGGAGCAGGCTACCCAGAGGTTATGGAGTCTCCATCCTTGGAGACATCCTTGTTCAAAACCCCCAGAGGTCCCTTCCAACCCCAACTATTCTGACATTGTGACTTAAGTTTAAAGGCCTATATGTGAAAGTAGTGGGTTACTGATGATAAATTATACTGATTTTGGAGATGGTGTGTAAGTTAGCTATCTGACCTTCTTGGATATGTGTTGGAATTCATGTGAATCCAAATACGTGACCATATTCAAACATAATTATTGAGGTTGTGGTCCCATTCTAACTATGGATAGAAATAGTATTTCATTGTGAATAAATGCGTTGAGTTCTCCATACATAAAAGCCTTTGATACAGAAGCTTAAATATTTTGGTTCTTTAGACATCCTGATTGTTGTAGATGGGTCCACAAGCAATTCAGGTTAACTTTTTTAGTGCGGTATAGGATTTCAACTTGACAAATGTTGTTGAAAGTCTCTTATTAATAGACTGATTTTGAATTGCTATATAAAAAAATGAATTTTCAGCACTTTATAATCATGATTCTGCCTCAGTAATCCGTGAGCTGATGCTAGACCACAGCAAGAGCTTAACAAGCGTTTTCAAGTTTAAAATGCAGTTTTTGTTTCATTTGCATTCTAGCCCTTCATGGAAACACTGTCGGAACTGGAAGAATGCTTGGTCCATAAAAGTGGATGTTCCTGAAAGCTATGTATGTTTTGAATGATTAGTGGGGAGGAATTAATGTGATAAGTAGATTGGCAATATGCATGTATGATTGAATTAGTAGGCATGTATTAGCTTAAAAATGGAGGTGTGATTGTTTTTGGACATGTTATTTGATATAATCTATCTTGAAATGTGTCGGCTGAGGTGGAGAGTTGAGATGTTGTGTAGTTTCTCTGGGTCACTTTCAAACCACTGCTGGAGGGAGCTGGTAAACTCTGCCTGTCTAAAGGATGCACACTAAATTTCACAAACGTTGCCTTAAGATGGCTATTGGTTGTCAGTTTTTACTTAAGGGTCAGGAGGTTAGTATAGGAAAGTGGTAAGTTGAAGAAAAAGCTGCCATCTGGAGATTTCTTGATATGTATAGGGAGTGTAGCCAGTATTCTTTCTCTTTGGAAATGCTGAGAAATAAATTCAGGAGCTGTATTCAGTTTAATTTTGAATGTGACTCAAATGCCTGCGAAAAATCATTATTTTTGGAAAAGAAAAGCTGGGAGGCATCGGGATTCTAGAAGGGTGAAACTTGGTTGTTCATAAAGCTTTGGGTTATATTCTGCATAATCACATAGTAATTGGTTTTGTTCATATTTCTAGTATGGTATATCAACAAGCAGTTTTAAGGATGTGAAAGCCAAGTGTGCTGATGACAGATTTCCTGGCAACTCTAGTGCAACAGATGGAGGTAATCTTTATTGATTAAGCAGCTGAAACTTTCTATTACTTTTAATGTATTCTTTCCAGCATATGTGTGTACTTATGTCATAAAGATTATTTTGTGAAGTATATGTATAAATTGCATTTCGGTTCCTATTCATTGATGTTTAGTGCATTGCTGTAATTATTTGAAGTGGTAGATCCTGAAGAAACTGCCAAACCCGACTTGTTGATGAGAAACTTCATATGGATCTGGCTTTTGAGATGAAACCACTGCTAAGATTCTTTCAAGTGTCATTGACTTTTTGAGTCGCTATCCAGGTTAATGTTACATTACTGTGCCCATGTAGAAGCTAGATGCTACCACATTGCAGGCTGTTGATAAGATGTTAGTGCATTATTTAAACTCGCTTCTGTTGTCCATGTTGACATAATGTATGCTGTTGCCCAGCAAAAACTAAAACTGTAAAGACAAGAGGTTCGACCTCTGACTTGAAATACTCTTTGTCTGGGATTAATGGTGTGGTGGCAAGGAAACAGTTGTTGGTCTTTCAGAGCCGGTAATGATGCCTTGAGAGGTGGTTTTGACACTTACACTTTGGCCCTCTTATGAAGGACTGTTAACTTTCAGCTTGCTCAGATGCAGATATTTGGGAAAGCAAACTTTTAATGACGAAACAGTGAACTTGATTCATCAAACTAAATTTTATTAAGGCTGTTTCAACCCTGGAACTAAACTAACTCAAAAAGGCTAAGCTAAAACTTATATTTGCGGTAGGCAAAAAATGTGCCTATGAATAGTTACTGTGTATCAACTGATATTGTGGTATCTGTTGCCCTGAGAACGTTCTTACCTGAATTGATCTTCAAAGAAATTAGATCATCTTTTTTAATATTGAAAAGTTTGTGTTGTATTTAAAAAGTCAAAATACAAAGCAGGACAGATTCTGTCTTACTAGAAAATCTAATTTTATTCCCTTTTTTGGATAAAAGGTACTTAAAGATGTTGCGACTAGTGGTTTCCTGTGAAGGCCAGGCTTTATCTCGGTATACCAAGGTGAAATGTGGGAGTGAAAAACTTACTGAGCAGCAGTGATACCTGTAATGTTGTTGTCTAAACAATAGAACGTTTTACAAGTGGGGAGGTGGAGTGACTGTTAAGTGGATGACTTAAAGAAAAGCTGTAGTAGCAAGCTTTGTTAGTATAACTGACCTGTGCAATTTGTTCTTGCAGTGGAGTCTGAAGGCTGCTTCTGCCTTAAAGGTATGAATTACAATAAATGTTATGGCTAATTTGAAAAGCTTGATATATTGGCGTGATAGTTAAAAACATTGGTATGTCTGATCAGTGAAGAGCCTATCCCGAGCCTGATTGCTTGATGAAAAATACATGAATCTGACTTCTGAGATTAGACTACTGTAACACCAGAATAGATGAAATAATTTTGAAGATAGACTAGGTAAATAAAGACCCCGAAATTTGGCAAAATAAGTTTAAATGACCTAATGGCTAATTCCAAATGACTGCTTTTAAAACTGCTTTTTCAGATGTATCATATGTCTAAGCTTGAAGTGACATATAAACAGTTATGTCACAATGCCGTGCTTGAAGTGTAGCCTGATATTTGGCTTGTGTCCTCTATGCCCATTATGGAAAACAGGCTGAAATATTTCATTATCTATCTTGACTTTTTCCCTGAAGGTATCAGTTCAAATGCAAAATGAGATATTCTTCATTTTCCTGGCATTTGCAATGAACATTCCTGCACAGGAGTGGTCTGGAGGCAATTTTTATTTAATGTTTGCTTGTCGGTGGGTTTTAGCCTCTTCTGCAGTTCTTAATGTTTTGATGCAAGCTGAGAACCGGGCATTATTAAGTGTCAGGAAATAACATATTAATCCTGGTAGGAGGGCAAGAATTACGTGTAGTTGCTTAGTTGCCTGTTGTAGAACCAAATTAAGCAACAACTGGGCAAGATGCAAAATAAATCTTACTGTGGTACGAGGGTATTTGAAATTTAAATTTCATAGAACTTACAGGATCCAGATACTGATTCAAAAATCACTTAATAATGCAGTATATTGATCTATTTGAAAGAGAAATAGATGTCAAATTGTGTTTCAAGTGATGGAAGAAAATCTTGTCTCAACTAATGGAAGTCTCTTTTTGACAGGGAAATAGTGAAAAATGTAGGAACAAATACTTCTAGTTGTTCAGGTATGTAATTATAAAGCTTTCAAATATTTTCATTCCAAAAGTCTGAAGTGATTCTGTGTTTCCAAGTTCAGGATTTTTTAGTATTGACACAATGTTTTCAGTTGATGCGGTAACTAATTCTGTACCTGCCCTGAACTTACGACCACTTCTTTCCCAAAGCACAATGTATGTGAATAGTTGTGCGTAGCCTTAGTTAGCCTTCTAGTCTACATGGGAAGTTTTTAAGTGTACCTTATTTAAGTTCGTTGAAGGACTGAATATTTAATTTTTTAATGTAATTAGGAATCCTATACAAAACCACTACATTCCGTATTAATTTTCTGCATTGCTTTTGCATCTCATCTGTGATGATCCTATCCCGAACCTGAATTCTTTGCTGAAAAACCTAATACGGATCCGGCATCTGAGATGAGAGCCGAAGGACTAGATTTAATGTATTTTTACATGTTGTGAACTCTTTGTGGTTGTAAGTGTTACCATTTTTGCAAAAAAACTAGTGTATGCAAAGTGTGTGTTTGCAAATTTCAATTTCTTTCTCTGAAGGAGCCCTTTTACTTAGACCTTCTTCTCCTTTTTCCAGTGAAGAGTTGGAACATTTTGTCAGACCTGTCAAGTGGATGGTCTGTACCTGGAAGGAAGTATAACACCTGAAGAGTTTGTCGCTTGAAATGGGACACCATGTTTCTAAAATCTCCTGCTGAAACAGTTGATGTCGTACTATTTAGCAGATACTTTTTGCAGAAATTTCGTGAGAACCAAAATCACTGTCTCGACATATTTAAAACAGCACCTTTCCCAAAACTTCAAAGGGAGGATGATGGCAATATTAGGAAAACAAGCAGTGACTTCAATGCGTGGTGGGGGAAAAAACCGTGAGAGTATTTGCTCTTTTGAAATAACTGCATACATACTGGCTGATGTCAAAACTCAGAACAGTTGAACTCTCAGGTAGGCCATGTAAAGACAGTGTGAAAGCAGTTACACAAATTCATATTAATGAGTCTGCTTTTTGAGCATGATGTCATCCAGGAGATGAGAGCAAGTAGATGGTTGGTGGTAATCAATTACTGAAGATTCTAAGGAAGCATAAACATGAAACACTTGTGAGAAAGATATGCAAATGTCTCACAGTTTGTGGTTATATGAAAAGCTAGATCTAAAGCATGCCTTGCCTTCTGTATCCAGTGAGAGAAAGAAGTGGGGTTTTGTCTGCCACCTCAGCATGAGAAGACCAATAGCGCTAGAGTGGAACTCTGTCCTTTGTGGGAAAGACCCTGGAAAAGTTATCTGCTCTTTTTGGGAAAAGAAGTCGGTAGAGGGAAAAGGGGATGCACGCATGGGAACTTCTGCCTTGAGCATTCATTTGAAAAATAACTGTGCAGTA